GATTGTTTACGCTGTCAATGCGAAACGAACCATATCTTCGAAAAACAAGATAATTAATATTGTGCTAGCGTTTCATACTCATTTTCGTAAAAGTAGTCCTTGTAACTTTTCGTTAAAACTAAATGCTTCAGATATTAAACAGTCAACTGAAAGAGATTGAATATGGCTAAATATTTATAGCCTTGTGAATCATGTACACATCCTACGCTGATTATATATCGACAGTTTCATTTGCATAAAAGTAATCGTCATTTGAATTGTTCCGAACACAGTTATCTAGTCTATTTTACATCTCTTCGTCTTATAGTCATTGATAAAAGTAATAAAACTTGATTGTTTTTAGATTACATATGAGTTTCTCATCCAAATATACGTTTGCTTGGTGTTTTTTCTTTTGTTATTTTTAAGCTGGATCCTGATCATAAAGGTTCTCTATTTAATCTAGCACTACTCTATCGAAATCATCTTGGAAAACCGGATGATGCCAGTAATCTCGCGCTTCATCTTATCAAAGTAAATCTACACTTTTTATGTATTCGTTTTATGCATTAAAAATCAGTGACTGATTTCTTTCTTATTAGTTCAATAAAAGAGAATTCATGGACTTGATGAATCAGTATTCAGAACTTAATTTAGTCCTAACTATTTTATACATTTGAGTAATTTATTTGATCTATTTTATTCTGATTGTTTGATGGTTGAAAAAATTACATGGTGCATTGTACTACAGCTGAAAATCAAATTTCTAAACTACATCGGCAGAATTAAGCGAAGGATGAATACTGATAAACCGATAAAATGTTTTTCTGAATTACAAATGACATTTTGTAAACTGTTTCCTTTGTTGTCTTTCCTCATCATATTTAAACTGCATAGTCATACCCAAAGCACCTAGTGATATACAGAATCGTCATTTCTCGCATTTGTATGTCTTTTACTTTCACAGGTTCATCCTTCACATATCAAGTCTTATTTACTTCTCGGATATATCGAGCTAACAGAAAAGGCGAACATAAAATTAGCAAAACAAGTAAGCTTAAAACATAACTATAAATTTGTGAACGCTACAGTATGTTGGACATACGTCAGCATATACTTATTTTTTTCCTACTTAGTATTTTGAAGAGCGCTGAAATTGGACCCAAACAATGTTCAGGCTAAACATAACCTCTGTGTTGCTTTGGCAGATGAAGATGAGCTAGAACAGTCAGAATCATGCCTTTTAGAGGCCATAGCCATGGAACCGAAACCTCAAAACTATATACTACAGCATTTAAAGATTATACGTGAACGTTTGCATTCTCGTGGAAGGCATACAAATAACGAGATGAACAAGGGCAACTAATCGAGTTACCAAGATTATTTATATATAATTATATAATTATCTGTAAAAATAGGTCAAAAGTTCCAAACTATTATGAATCGGAAATAAATGTCTCAGTATTACAGCCGTACAAATGAACTTTATTTTAGGCATATTTAAATCATAACAATAATGTTTGGTCTAACAGTAACTAGACCTTGTAACACTTCGTATCCATTCAGAGACACACACGGGTGAATACAACCATTAAAAAGGCGGGCGTGGAAATGGTAGTATATTTGACCCGTTTAGTGTCTTTCTCTTTGGTCCGACGGCTAGTGAAGAACGTATTCGCTTATGTTTTTGCTTTCAATGAATACTGTAATTTCTTTTTATTCTTATTACTCTAGTCTCCCGACCGTAGCTTCTATCTTGACGCGCTGGTCAGCCTTGTTTATCGTGATGACCGAACCGAGCTATATCGGCTGGAACATATGCTCCTGTAGGTTCTAGCATGCCAGGCAGGTCGATTGGATACCGATGAGACTAAAAGACGCTACTCAAGGTCTGAGGGAGAAGTCATAGTGCTGACTGCAGAGGGGTATGACAGCAGTAAGGTGTTTCCCTCGGACAACCAGCATTTGCAGCGATGCTGCCTTCTGACAAGGAAGGAAGGGTTAGAAAAGGTCGACCCTAAAAATGTCACACCTCACCTTTCCAGTGTGGGCAGCCGGGAAGTGACAACCGTCCTCATACCCGTAACAGCTAGCTATAGGTTTAGAATCTCGTACTCCTGATGAATACTGCGTCTCCGAAACGCTCATACAACATCCGAGTAAAACTATTCACTTGATCTCTATCTCAAAATTAGAACCGTCGCAATTTACATTTTGTGTATCTGGAAGCCACATTATTGCTGCGTCTGGCCTCCATGGTGTAGGTATTGCACTGAGTCCTAACGCTGAACTCAGTCAGCAACAACGTAGAACTTCATAGGCTAGGCTGATCTAGCTCTCCCAATAGGTATTCGCATGTGCATTGACCAAATAAATGGGACAGTAATGACCCGTGAAGATAGGGAAACTTGCCGTTGCCTCTTTGTTATCTCTGCTTACGCCCCCACTGGCTGTAGCTCGGACAAGATGAAAGATGAATTTTACAGAACCCTCTCTAATGTTCTTCAAAAAGTCAAGCGCTCTGATATAGTAATGACGGCTGGTGACTTTAATGCCTAAGTAGGTAGAATAAGTGTAAAGGAAAGACACCTGAATGGATCTTACGGTGTCGCGGCTCAGAGAACAGATGTCCGTTTTCTACAGCTATGCTCAAAAAGCGCCTATTCCTAGTAAATACTAACTTGAAGCACAAGGAAAAACCTCTCTTGACCTTGCAACCCTCAATGACGACCCAACTTAATCACACTGCTATCAGCCATCGGTGGAGAGGATCTATTGTAGACTGCCGCTCATTCTAAAGTAATTGTTTAGATTCAGACGATGCTCTAGTGCGAGCGCGTATTTGTTTTAGGCCTAATGGACGTAAGAAGGACACAGGAATTCCTCGAGAGTTCTGTTTACCGATAACAAAGCCAAT